CACGTTTGTCCAGCGCTCGCTGATGGACGCCCGAGTCCTCCCGCATCCTGACGGCGGTGAGTGAGCCTGGCGCGTGTCCTGCTGGCGGCCCCTCAGGCCGCTCTGGGAGTGGAGTTGCTGGGCTATGTGTGCCTCTGTGGTGAGAAGCTGCCAGACTGCCTTGTGCAACGACAGCTCCTTTTCCCATCCTGCCAGCGAGTCGCAGGGTCCCCCTTCCCCAGCAGCCCTCTCGGGGAGTCCATTGCCAGAGTCCCCAGCCTCGGCACTGCCAGGATCCTGCCCTCCAACCTGACTCCTCAGCTGTTCCCTCAGATGGGCCACGCAGTTGCAGTCCGTATGGGCGCACTCAAAACCATTTGCTCTCCCTGCACCAGCGCCCCACCACTGACCTGGGAAGAAAGACCCCTCACCCCACACCCTGGGGGCTGCCTTGCTCAATCTGCTCCCTCTGTGGCTACTAACAAGCCTCAACACAGGCCCCTCGCCCCTCAGTCACTACTCCCCAGAGAATCCAGGCACCACCAGCTTCCTCAGTCCCCTACTCTCTCCCACAAACCTGTCTCCCTTCAGCTTCTGAGGAAGCAGGGTCCCACCCACCTCACCCTCATTCACTCTCCAGAGTACCTTCTCTCCAAGCCGCCCTTTTTTTTTAATTTTTTTTTTAAGATTTATTTATTCATACAGAACTGGGGTACAGGCCAGATATGTGGAGGGTGAGAGGATTCACCAGAGACAGAGTGGGGTACAGAACAGGCAGATCGACAAGTACACTGCTGAGGGGAGCAGCGGGCGGGTCAGGAGAGGTATGCTGTGCCATGTGGTCACCTCCGGGGCGGGCAGGCGGGAATCGAACTCATGCGGGAAGTGGCTTAAGCTTCTTAGTGCTGTGCTTTAACCCGCTGTGCCACCAGGGAGGGCCTAATTTTTTTTTTATTTTAAGATTATTTATGCATACAAGAACTGGGGTGCAGGCCAGAGGTGCAGGGAGTGAGAGTATCTACCAGAGACAGAGTGGGGAACAGAACAGGCAGATGGACTGAAATGGACTCTTGAGGGGAGCAGGGCGCGGGGCTGGGGGGGGGGCTGCAGGGGTAGGTGGTAATAGGAGAGGTCTGCTACACAGGTGGGCCAGCTCCCTGGCTGGGGATGGAACTCAGCTGCACTGGCTGTGGTTAGCTTCACAGTGCTCAGACTCAACCCCTTGTGCCACCAGGGGAGGTGGCCACGTGGACACCACTCAGCTGTTTTCACTCCCAGGCTATCCACCTTTCCCTGTGAAGGTTGTGGCTTCCAGAATCAGGCAACACCAACCACACCCTGAACCAGTCCACACCTGGGCTCACACCTGGGCTCAAGTCAACTCAGCCCAAATTCTAATGACAGAAGAATCCACACAAAGGATTTAGGCAGAATTTCAGACTTTTTTTTTTTTTTCGGTCCTGTGCACTGGCAGAAATGACCCCCGAGAGAAAGAAGCAAACACCCTCCACCAGCAGCATGGAAGTGGGGTGGGTGGGGATGGTGGGGTGCAGCCTCCAAACCCCCACACCACCAAAGCTCCAGAAAGTGCTGCAAATCTCCAGTGAGAAGACCACTAGCCCATGCACTTCCCACAGGCGTGTGAGGCTGGGTAATGCACCTCTTCAGCCGCTCACTTGAAATGATGGTGACAGGAGGTGGAATTCTAGACTCTTGCCCGCACTGGACCTGCAGGCTCTTCCCCACCAGCAAGGAGCCCCGGCAGAAGGGCCAAACCTTGCAATGGCTGATGGCTCAGTCTCTCCCCTCACTGGCACCTCCTCCTGCTGGGTCTTGGCCACATGGGGGCGCCCCTGCGTTGCAGTGGAGGTCACAGCCCAACCTGTTCCGAACAGCCAGTGTGCGTCTTCCCGTGAGTCTGACTTGCCTGGCGTGGACCCCTTCCCGGGGCCGGCTGAGTGCAGGCAGCTGTTACGGAAATGTGGGGCAGAGAGCACTGTGGCAGCAGCGTGGCCGTGCACCTGCTGGGACAGGTGTCCCTGACCTCCGAACATGCACTTCGTCCCTTGGCCACAGCTGGGGCCTCTCTCCCCTCCCTGTACACTTGGACCACACAAACTTCCTCATCGCCCCTTGTCTCCTCTGCAGCTTCCCTTACAGTCTGGCAGTGCTTGGGTGGGGAGCAGAGAGTGACCCCCCTACCTCTCAGCAACAACCCCCAGTCCTGAATCTGCAGGGGAGGAACAGCCAGGAGCCAGCGTTCCTGCGTACTGTGAGCCAGATGCTCGTTTCCACACGCTCATCTGGAGAAAGTGTGGAGCCCCTCCAGCAGCCCCCCAACACTAGATTGACTCAGGGCACTCAGGTGCCCTTGCAAAGAAACCCCTGGACGTTTCCTGTTAAGTCTCTTTATGTTCTGTTTAAATGTCTTCTTAAATGTTATTGTGCTGGCCCCCGGAATCGCTATCCACCGCAGACCGATCTCATGGACGTGCCGCTTGGAAGAGAACAAATCACCTAAGTAACTAGGACCACAAGGAAATGGGGGAGCCATGGAGAGGCCAGGCCAGTGAGCTGACCGACATGGCACAGCGGCAGACCTCTCCTGATCCACATGCTGCTCCCCTCAGCAGTGTATTTCAGTCAATCCACCTGTTCTGCTCCCCACTCTGTCTCTGGTGAATCCCCTCACCCCCCTGAACCTCTAGCCTATACCCCAGTTCTGTGTGCATAAATAAATAAATAAAGACATCACAGGCCAGTGCGGCTAGAGGAACAGAGTCCACAGCAGAGAGATTCAGAGCTTGGCTTTGGGTTCAGCCATCTTTAGGCTTTTTTAATCTGTGAAATGGAGATAACTTAGCTACATGTAGCTAAGGCTGGCTAGACCATCTCCTCCGCATGTTGTGTGCAGTTAGAGTCCATCTCCGAGCTTTCCTTACAGATAGTAGGGCCAAACCTGACCCCTCAAAAAACTCGTTCACATCTGCACACTCACCCCGTGATTTCTGGCCGGATGCGGGAGCGCCAACACAGGACGCTAAAGGTCTAGAGAATGACGGGGCCACCTGGGTCCCGAGAAAACCACAATGAACAGTCACAAAAGAACAAGAACTCAGTCTTTTTCTTTTAAACCACTGAGATGTTAGGGTTGTTTCTCCTAACTAGTATGGAAATTGGTTCCTGAAAGAGAGGCACAGCTGGTAGAAGCATTCAAAAGAAAATATGCAACGCTGACTTAACATCTGGACAGAGAAATAAGGCAACTGGTGTCAGGCGCTGAAGAGATAATGCCAGGTCACACCTGGGCAGTACAGCGAGTGAGCACGCAGTAGCCAGATAGTGGACTCACGCCCCTTTCCACTCCACAGAGCTAAGAGAGGCAGTAGGGAAAAAATTAAAATGCTCACTTGTCTTGACTAATGTTGGTGTCCTTCAGCAAGAGTTCAGAAGAAAGAATTCAGCTTAAGAAAGGTTCGGTCCACTTACAAACAGAAATGAAAGAGTTCGAAAGGCATAAGACGAGGCCTCCCTGGCGGCGTGGGGGTCAGCCTCAGCCCTATCAAGCGATCTCGAGCCACTGCAGCTGATCCCTGCCAGGGAGTGGCCCGCATGGCACAGCAGACCTCTCTGGCCTTGCCCGCTGCTCCGCTCACCCCCTGCACCTCTGGCTTACACCTCAGTTCTTCTGCACGCGCACACACACACACACACACACACACACACATAGAAATAGATATGAACTATAAGAAATACGACTGCAAGAACAGAGCCCCGTAAAACTCTACTGACCAGCACAGCTCAGCCTGCAGCAAAAATCAGGTTAGGAAAGTGGCTTTCCCACATATTGCTTGAGATACCTGAAACAAGTCAGCTCCCGGTAGGGAGACACAATGACAAGACTCTGTAAAGTAAGGAGATGAGGCTGTCTTGGAGCCACAGTGGTCCACCAACCCTTCTCGTTCCAGAGGCCAGCTCCGGGCTGCCTCGAGCTGGTTCTGGCTCTGGCGTCTGTCCCCCTCAGGGTCCCCCACACCACAAGCCTGAATGGACCGTTTCAACTCCAAGCATCTGATTGCTCTGTCTATACCAATCTACTCGTTTTCCATTAAACTGAGCTTGAACCTATTTGGTCCATTCCGAATCCCAGAGCCAGATATATAAGGGGGTAGGTGGGGAGAGCCCACCCCAGCCTGCTCTCAGGTCAGGGCTGGCCGATGGGCCTGTGGGCTCAGGGAACAGCAGAAAAGTCAGCAAAAATTATCTGGAAACTAATGATAAAAGAACAGCAAACAGCAGGACCTGGTTTCTCGCTGAACTGTTTTCTGAAAGTGGGTCAAGACCCAAATTCATACCTACAGCTCCCGGGAAGGTTCCCTGCACCTCACCCAGCCAGGGACGCCCAGTGGTGCCTGCGGGGTTCACAGCAGCGTGGTCCAGGGCTCCAAGTGCGAGTGTTGGAAGGGTTGGCCACGGTGCCTCGGAGGCCCAGAGAACTGCCACGTCCCTGCCCTGCCTTCCCCACCGGGCAGCAGGGCCCGGGAAGCCTTATCTGGCCCGGAGTGAACACTGCCTCTCCTCTGTAGCCAAGCCTCCTCCTCATTTCATCCCCTCTTGCCCCATAGCAGAGTAACTCAGCTGAGTTCCTGAGAACATTCTGGTGCTTTCCAAGTTGTTTTCACCCATGTGCTCCTTGGGGAATAAGGCCATTGATCTCCTTGCCTGGCACCATGTGGCATGTGGTGGGTGTGAGTAAACGTTGCCATATTGAGTTGAACGCCAGCGAAGGTGCCAGATGGAGCGCCCTCTGCGGCAGGCTAAGGACAGCCCGTGGCCCGGGAAAGTTGCAGGGTGCCCTGGGCCGCACTCGGCCCGCTGCCTGTTTTCCCTTCAGTTCCTACACAGTGCTGTGCCACACTAGGTCAAGGACACCGCGGCGGTGCACCCCACACAACTGGGCACCCTGGGCAGGCCCCCCGCCCACCCCCATCACAGTCCCGGAACAAAAGGCAGCAGACCTCTCTGGAGGCCAGTCGTTCTTTATTCCATCAGTGACCAGTACAAGAGCACCACAGATACACAGGGGCTGCCTGAGGCCCCGGGCAAGGCAAAGAGGGTGCGAGTGGCCGGCCCCAGCGGGGAGAGCCTTCCCTCCCCGTGTCCCGGGAGGGGCGGGCCTGGCTGTGCCCACAGTAATGCCATCTGCGTCCGCCCCATCCTTCCTCAAAGCACCGGGGTCGCACGAGGAAGGCAGTTTCCAGGCCGGGCCACAGGAGGACTTGCTGGGCGGCTGAGGGAGGACTCTGAGTTTGCGGAGCCTGTGTGCGTGCGCGTGTATGTACACGTGTGTGTGTGTGTGCGTGTGCGTGAAGAAGGGACACGCGCCTATACTACTGAGCATGTGGGATTTCGCCGCTGAGCCACAGGACCTGCCTGGGGCCCAGGAGACCTGGAGCCTGGCGAGGAGAGGGGCCTGGGGCCCGCCCACCCTCCTCACAGCTGCATCTGGGGAGGAGCCCGGGGCAGGCAGGTCCAGCCCCTGTGGTCTGCCCCAGCTCACGTGTAGGCCATCTTGCTGCACACCCAGGGCCGGGTCAGCAGACACTCCGTTGACACCAGCCTGGTGGGCTCCACGAAGACACACTCCCCCGGGCCCGAGACGGGGAATCTGGCCGGAGAGAAGAGACCAGGCACACGCAGCTGCCACGGGGCCGCCCCGCCCGCCCCCCTTCCAGGTCATTCCGCCTGCCCCGCAGACCTTTCTAGCTCAGACCTCCCAGGGCCTCCCCGCGCTGAGCTCAGGGCTCCATCTGGGGGCGCCCCGGAACCCATCTGCTTCCCGGGCCCCTTCGCCTCCTCTCTGCCCACCAGCACCCCTACACCAGGGGTCACGCTCCTCACAGACCGTGTCTGTCTGTCCCCACCCACCCCTGAGGTGAGGGTCAGTTCCTGACCAGTGGGCGCCCCTAAGCCACGCTGTCCAGCGCAGCACAGCTCAGCAGGGATGAGCCCGGTGAAATACCATCGCAGGCTGAGGGGACCCTGCAGATGTTTAACAACTAGGCTGCGGCACCCAGGAACTCACTGACATGTTCCTGAGCCTGTGGCAGGGGTGGGGGCCTCTCCCGGCCTATCATCTCTGTCAGTCTCCAGGCCGCTCCTCAGCCCTGAGCTGAGCCCTGCCCGGGCTGGGACCTCACAAGCGAGGGCATCAGAACAAGCCAAGCAGCGCTTAGAGAAGCGGCCCCTCGCTGCCAGGCACCAGCGTTCAGCGGGCCCCAGGCTCCAGGGCTCTCCCCAGCTGTGAAGCAGGAAGCTTCCCGAAGGGGGCAGGGGCAAGGAGCGTGAGGCTTCCTCGGCAGCCCTAGATCTGATCTGGGGTGGGAAAGGGAAAGAGCCTGTGGCCACAAGAGCAGAAGTGCAAAATGGCGCGCGGGGAGGCGGGGCAAAGCAGCGAGGGGAGGAACCCCAGGGAAGGAGGCTAGCTGCCAGCTCTGGCCTCGGACAGGTTGGGGGCGTGGGCACCCATCTGCTTTGGCCCCTGCTTGGAGACACTCATGTGTCATCGTCATCAAGTAGCTAAGCCCCCTCTGGCTCCTCAGAGCCTGTTCTTCCAGCAGTAGGGTCTGGACTAGGTTCTTGGCCTCTCTCATGCACTTCTCTGAACCTCGACTACCCACACACACCATCACTCCCCCCCACAAACACCCCCCACGACCACTGTCACCATCACCTCACACACGAGCCACCACGTGCTGTGTCCACACCACGCGGACCATTAAGCCACCACACACACCAGCAACTCTAGGCTTCTCTGAGCGAGCGCTCCTGCTGCCAGGGCTGCGCCCCGTCTTCCATGGGAACTACGGAAAGGAGCACACCCCCACCCTCCTGGACACCGGGGGTGGCCCCCCCACCCTCCTGGACACCGGAGGTGGCCGTGCGGCTGCATTCTGGCCCATGCAAAGGAACATCCAGGGCACGTCCTTCCTTCCTCCTGCCCCGGTGGCCAAGCCACACCGAGCCACGCAGACACCTGCTGCGTCCCGGGAGCCACAGGTGGAAGGAGCCTGGGTCCTGGCAGTGGGCAGCTTGAGCCCCCAGCCAGACTGGGCTTTGAGGAAGGGCGTGCCCAGCACACCCGCGCTCTGCCACCTAGCACAGAGGCCGGGCTCTGGCGTGCGCACACGTGGTTCTCTCCTGGGAGAGTTGGCGGGGGCGGGGGAGGGCTGCTAGGCCTTCCCCAGCCTAAGCTCTGCAGCCAGAAGATGAAGCCTCAGCTCACGTGTCTGGGTCAAACGGGTCCCCGTTGACCCAGTGGAATTCATCCCCCACTCTGCGCAGGCCAATCCAGGGCTCCCTCCGGGTGAACTTGAACATAAACTCCTGCACCAAGAAAGAGGGGAAGCGCAGAGTCAGAGTCGGGGTGCAGTGCACCCGCCCCGAAGCTGAGCTCAGCCTGGAAGATACTGGCTCCCAAGAGGTATAGCTTGGAGAAGGGGAATGCCTCACTGCACCCTGAAAGGGAGAAGCTGGGGTTCAGAGGCCCTGCGTGCACCTGGCGTCTGGCGGCTGCCTGCAGCTACCTACCGCTAGGGTCAGCTGTGGCGCATGCGCGCGGCCAGGGCGCCAATAGCTCCTCGCGAGCTGCCAGCCCGAGGGCCAGGAGCCCCGCAGTTGGGGGCTGGGGCGGGGCTGCTCGTCCAAACAGGAGCGATTTGGCTCACCTGCAGATTTGGCCTGCCCCTCCCCCTCCAAAACAGCTTGCGGCACCGTCCCGGGTTCAGTGAGCGCTCACAGCTGATGTGGACAAGGAAAGGCTGTTGCGTGCGCGCTGCCCAACTGCGTTTAATTGGCCATCTGTGTCCTTCGTGAACTGGGCCCAGCCCGGCCCCTGGGATGGACACACCGGTGCTGGGGGACCCTGCATCCCGGGGTGGGGCGCCCCAAGGCCCGGCCGCCTGGCACTCACCAGCTCCTTCTTGCTCTGAATCACCGCCAGCGCAGCCTCGTGGGAGTGGCAGTGCTGCCGGCCAGTGTTCCAGTCCCGGGGCTCCTCGGAGAAGAAGTAGCACTTCCGGCCGTACAGCAGCCAGTCCTCGGGGCAGGGCGCCTCGCACTTGATACAGCCCTTGGAAGCTGCAGGCACAGAGGGGCTCGGGAACCCACCCCCGGCCCGCCCACGCACCTGCACTCTGCTCCCACAGCTCCCGCCACCTGCCTGGACCATGGCGCCCTCCGTGACAGCCCTACACAGGTGGCTATCTCCGCAGGTGAGTGCCTCCCTCCTGCCTGGCAGGCCGAGGTTAGTGGCCAGTGACCCGGGCATCAGGGCTCCGCCACCAGGAAAAGAGACAGTGGGTTAACCCCCCCCAACCCCCCCAACACTCCCCCACCCACCTTCCTTCTCTTTCCCTGGCCTCACTTCCTTTCTGTCTCTCTCTGGCTCCCTCTCCCTCTGGGTCACCCTCTGTCTCTCCCTCCCCCAACCCTCTTTGGTCTCCCGCATTAGCCAGCCCGGCAGCCTGTTTCACATTTCAACCGTCTGAAAGTTCTTGTTCAATTTCCAGTCCCAACCTGCCTCCCAGTGACTCAGAGCTCCTGGCCCCAGAGGGGCCTCCACAGTGACCTGCCCTCTACCGCCCACTAGAGGGCGCCTCACCCAGGCTGGCACCGGCCCTTGGCCCCCTGTCCCCATCCTGCCCAGCTGGGCACCCTGCTCACACCAGCCCTGAAACATGCACAGCCTGGATGCGTCAGAGCCCCGCCCAGGGGTGGTGGGGAGCAGGCTGCCACACCGGGGCTCTGAGGGGGTGGACCCCTGGGAGGACCTCCATGCACTCTCCTGGGCAGGAGGCCAGGGCCACTGCCAGACTGTCAAGGGCTGCAGGCCAGAAGGCGTCCAGCCCTGCTCTCCACTGTGTTCCTGTGACCTGCTTCCAAGCCAGGAGTCCCCAGGCCAGCGCATGAGTCAGTCACTTTTTAAATCCAAATGCAGAATCTGATGTTTGCATCTTACACGTGTATCTGATTCACCTGGGCGCATTTGCAATTGTGTGTATATGTGTGTAAAATGTAAAATGCAGTTAATTTATTGCCTTCTACTTTCCATTTGTAATTTTTCGATGGAGCCACTGACAGGCTGGCAAGGATGAGTCCTTCGATTTTCAGGCCTAGCCAACCTCTTGCTTATGCTGTTAGCAAAGTAGAATTTTTACAAGAAACCAGGAATAGAATCATGGATGGGGGTGTTCTAATGCACTCTATGTTTAATATTGTTCAATTGTACAATGTATGGATTTGTGCTTTTTTTAAAAAGGTTTATTTATTTATGCACAAGAACTGGGGTCTAAGTCAGAGGTGTGAGGATGGTGAGAGGACTCACCAGAGACAGAGTGGGGAGCAGGACAGGCAGATTGAAACACACTGCTGCGGGGAGACCAGAGAGGTCTGCTGCACCCTGTGGGTCACTCCCTGGCTGGAGATCGAACTCAGGCTGCAGTGGCTGTGGACAGGTTCATAATGCTGAGACTTAACCCGCTGCACCAACAAGGAGGGCTGGATTTGTGCTTTTTTATAGACTCTTTTTAAAAATGACCTGTATAAGCATGCAGTGAAGTCGTGCTCCTGGAGGGGGTACGGCCTGCTCCTGTTGTAACTGCTCATCTCTGGGGAGAGGGGACAGACACTCGACACTGTTATGGTCACAATATAGCTTTAGTGGTCTTCATTTTTTTTTTTTTTTTGCTATTTGTTTATATTTTTGCTTTTGTTTGGCTCATTTAACATTTTAATCTTGATTTTTCTTTGTCCTTTTTTTAAGGTTTATTTTGATTTATTTATGCATACAAAAACCAGGGTGTAGGGCAGAGATGTGGGGGGTAGGAGGAACCACCAGGAGAACAGGCGGATCTATTGAAACCCACTGCTGAGGGGAGCAGCGGGGAGACAGGGAAGTCTGCTGCGCCCTGTGGGTCACTCCCTGGCGGGGATCCAGCTCAGGCTGCAGTGGTGATAGTGCCAGACTTAACCCCTGGGCCAGCAGGGAGGCCCCTCCCTGTCCTTGTAAGCATTTCTGCAAATCCTCTAGATGTACTTTTGTGGATTTCAGGCATCCGTGGACCACGGCGAGCCAAGAGCAGTCGTGGCACTAAGCCCCAGACTGACCCACACCATGCCAGTGCCAATTAATTAATCGACAGTCGGGTGTACTGCTCAGAGCTGAAGGTCCGCCTGGGACACTGGCCACGGCATGCCCACGCCGGGCTCATGGCACTTCTCCAAGTTCAAGGCAGAGCTGCTGAAATCACATTGTAAACTCTGCTGAACCCAGGGGGCACACTCAACTTGAGCTCCCCAGAAGCAGCGGAGATGCCTGGTCATCTGGCTTTGCCTGCTCAGTGTCCTCCCTTTTATTCCTTCCTCTCTTTCAGTGGCACAGGCCACTAGATGCTTCTCAGCTCCTGTCCCCTTGGAGTGGAAATCCCTCTTCCTCCTGGTCTCCAGCAAACTCTGTCCATTCTTCAAAGCTTAGCACGCACGCACCCCCTCTAGGAGGGCAGTAATACCTCCAGACTGGACAAGGAAAATGACCCACGTCCGTTTTTTTTTTAAAGCCTTAGCACTTAGCATGGGACTCAGTAAATGTTTGTTGACTGAGTAAGAGTGATCTGTAAACCGCTTGTCCCAAAATCATCTCTTCCGAGCACTGCTGGCCTAACCCACAGCATTCAGAACCGCTCTCTTTACCTATGGAATGTGCTTTTGAAAAGCTGTGCATCAACCCAATTGTGCACATGCACGAGCTCATGCTCACCCAAGATGCTCATCACCACGAGGATGGCAAACAGGAGGACTGCAATGGCACCCAGCAGGAGACGCGTGGTAGTGTCTGAGGAGAAGAGAAAGGGGGTCAATACGAGCCCCCCTCCCCAGGCGCCCTCGCCAGCCCCAAGTCTCACAGGAAGACACTGTGGTGCTGGCTTCAACAATCTGTCTGAACGAGCCATGGGTGACTTAAATGCACGCCGACCTCCAGAACCTTGCTCCAGAACACACCTGTGCTGTGCCACCCCCTGCTTCCACGCCTTCCCTGCGGGCCCCCCACAGCTCAGCTCCTCCGGCGGAACCTTCCCATCTTCAGTCTTTGCCACTTGTCTGTGGAGCCCCAGCTTTGCTCAGATGGACTCCTTAAAATAACCTGGTCCGTCTCTCAGCTGGGCCACTGGCTGTTTGCTCCAGAATTTTCTCCCCAACTATAATCTCTTGAAAGCCACCCACCCCACACTTCCGTCCTCTTCAGGAAGCTTATTCTGGCCCTCTGGGTCCTCCCTGTTTTATTTCTGTTTGTTGCTATCACTTCCATCTTAAATTTATATTTCATGAAGGAAGTCTTCTAGACTTTAGGAGCTTTGAAAGTTTTTTTATTGTGAAAATAATATGTATGTATAAGCATGAAAGCTGCTAACCAGCCAGTTTTAGGTGAACATTTAGTAGCACTCGTTACTTTGATGATATTGTCCAGCCCTCCCTACTGCAAGAGTGGGTTTTTTTTTTTAAGATTTATTTATTTATGCATACAAGAACTGGGGTATAGGCAAGAGGTATGGGGGTGAGAGGATTCACCAGAGAGAGAGTAGGGAGCAGGACAGGCAGATTCACTGAAATACACTGCTGAGGGGAGCAGCGGGGAGACAGGAGAGGTCTGCTGCGCCCTGTGGTTCACTCCCTGGCCAAGGATGGAACTCAGGCTGCAGTGACTGTTATAGCTTCATAGTGCTGTGCAATCGTGTTTTAATGTCTGCACCTCCTCAACAATCTCCCTTTTTAAGTCCTTTTTTCAAACCAAAATTATGAATGGCCCTTGGTGAATGTGGTGCCTCAGGAGAGGCGCGTGCATCTGTAAGTTACTCATGCGTGGTGAGCTCTGCTGAACGCCGACGTCTGTCATCAGCCTCAAACTCAACCGGGACGTCGGGAAAGACCACGTGTACAGACTCTGCCCCCCGGGGAAGGGAGATGGCACACACACTCTCAGATCACCACAGCAAGGGGCCCCTTCAATTTTTAAGGGAATAACTACACGGAATTTGGCACTGGGGAGGAAGGCCACGCTAGGGGGTCCGGCTCATTCACCATCTGCCCTCACAGGGGGTAAGTGTGGGGCCGAACAACACAAAACAATATTGTGTTCATTTCCTGGGGTGGCCTAATAAAGCACCCTAAGTACGGTGGCTTAGAACGCCAACAATGGGCCCTCCCTGGTGGCACAACAGGTTAAAGCGCAGCACTGCAAGCAAGTCTCAGCCGCTCCCATGGAGTTCGAGCCCAGCCCCGCAGGTGACCCACAGGGCGTGGCAGACCTCTCCTGGCCCGCCCGCTGCTCCCCTCAGCAGTGTACTTTGTCGATCCACCTGTTCTGCTCCCCGCTATGTCTCTGGTGAATTCTCTCACCCCCCCCCTGCACCTCTGGCCTGCACCCCAGCTCTATATGTATAAATAAATAAATCTTAAAAAAAAATATCAGAAATGTATGGCCTCGGGCCTGGAGCCTGGAGGCCCACAAGGTACCAGCAAGGCTGGGTCCTTCTAAAACCCTGGCTTTGTCCTGCTGCTGGGTGTGTCGGCCATCCTGGGCACTCCCTGGCTGCAGTGGTATCGTTCTGGTCTCCGCCCTCATTGTCCTCTGGCCTCCCTGTGTCACTCGCCTTCCGAGGACCCCAGGCCTACAGGGTTGGGCGCTCACCCTCCGCCAGCATGCCCCCCATCTCTCTCGTCACACCTGCCATGACATTTTTCCAAAGAAGGTGGTATTCTTAGGCACCTGGGGGAGAGGGCATCTCTCGTGGAGGGGATCCAATTCAAATCATAACAGATGTCTAACTCGAGCACGCTCCCTTTATTGCAACATCCCGTATTAGATGGAGTTTGAAGGTGCAGTTATTTATGTTCATAAATGCATATGATTCAGCCTAATGTTAGAAGGAACAACTAAAAATAACCCAGCTCTCATGCTCGGTCCCCACCACCCGCACCCCCAGTCTTGCCCAGCGGAGCATCCCAGTTGCGAGGGCCATATCCTGAAGACAGGCTCTTGACTGTTCGAGACGAGTCAACAAGTTGGGTCCTTTTAAAATTTTAAAGCAGCTTTGCCAAATGCGTGTGTGTGGTTTTGATCAGGAAGCTGTGGGCTTGTGCTTAACCAAGGCACTTTCGATATTAAAAATTCAGAATCGGTGAGCACCAAAATATCTGTTGCCTGAGACATGCAGACTCACTCTGCCCCCAGGCCACCTTCCCCACTCCCACCCCCAGTGCCAGAAATATCCCCATCTCCAGCCACCTCCAGTTTTCCAGAACCCAAGTGGAAGTTCTGGGTCACCTCTGCAGCCCTCCCTGGAGGCGGGGATGGAAGGAAAGGTTAATGTCCACAGGGAGAGAAGACTCGACCAAAGAGAGCGTTCTCTGGCTTTCTATTTACAAGGCAAATTGTTCCTCTGAGGAATGGTTTAAAGCCCCGAGTTCTACTCTCAGCTTTGAGTGAAGGCCTCTGTTTTACCCAGCCTGTGAGGAGAGCGAGTGTCTGCTGGGGTTGCCTGGGCGGGTTCTCTGGGAGCATGAGGGCAGCCACCTGTGAACCACTGGTCTCTCCATTCGCCTCACCAAGTCCAACGCGGCAGCTCAGCATGGGCTCGTGGTGAAGCCAGTGGGGGGCCGCACATGAGCAGCTCACCTGGCCACAGGACCCTTCACCTGCCTGAGTCCCAGCTTCCTCATCCGCAAAGAGACCCAGCATCACCCACTCACTGAGGGTGGGATGAGACAGCGGAGGCGAAAGACCCAGCACAGAGCCCGCCCCATAGGAGCAGGCCCTGGGTCTTCATCTTGGTTGGGTCAAGGAGTCTCCGATTTCTTTCAAGTTAGGTGCTTGGGGATGACACACACCAGGGTCCTCCAATCTGGCCATCCCTCCCCCATTCATAAGTGTGCCTCAGTGTCTGTGAGCAAGACACTCACAGACCCATTGTGGGCAGGAGCAGACTCAAGGTGGCAAGACCAGCAGCTCCAGCATTTCCACCGGGTCCCCCTGACCAGAGCTGCAGGGCTCGAGGAAGAGGGGTGCCCTGCACAGCCAACCCCTCACCTTTGGCTCTGTAGCCCTGGGAGGCAGAAATCGTGATCTACCTTTGGTAAGGAAACTGAGGTCTGACAAGTTTGAACACCTGCCAGTCCAGGCAGGTGAGAAGTTCTAGCATGGGTTTGCTAAGTCCCAGACTCTGTGCTTTCTGCCCCCACCAGGTGGCCTCGGCTCTGCCTTGTGACCCTGCGAGAACAGGGATGTTTCTAGTACCCAGAGTTGCACCTGGACGGTGCAGAAGTCTCAAGAATGTCTGTGGAAGGAAAGACAGAGAATGAAAGCAGGTAAGGGGGGTGAGGGGGAGAACCCAGCCATAGGCCATCACTGGGGTCACACGACAGTACCCTGTGATCCCCAAGATAGAGAAGTCCAGAGGCTCAGAGCTGAGCCCCAAGGACTATGAACGTCAAGGCCCACCTGAGTGGGCAAGAGCAGGTGGACAGGGAGGAGCCCTTGGGGCCGAGGCACAGAGCAGGCAGGGAGGGAGCCAGGCAGGCCACGGGAGATGAGCGGGCCGGCAGCACTAGGCACAGGGCAGGCTGGACCCCGCAGGGGCTGGGAGACGAGTCCTGAGGGCCTCTGAGGCTTCTGCCCGGTGCTTCCAGCCTAGGTGGCCGTGGCTGGGAGTGCGAAGCAGAGCAGCTAGAGGTGGAAACAAGCAAGGAAGCACTGAAAGGACACAGCACCCCAGAAGTGGCCCCGCTTCCTGGCATCAGACAGGCTAAGGCAGACCCTGCGGAACTGCTCATGAATGAGTGGGTGAATGGATGGATGAAGAAACAGGAGGAGTAGGCGGCTTTGAAGTGAACTTGGGCAGGAAGGAAGCGTGGAGTCATGGGTGAAGCAGCCACACACCGGAGCCACACAAGGGGTTCCTGCTCCCTCCAACTCTAGGGCCCCCAGAAGTGCCGCTGCAATGGCCTGTCCATTCTGTCCTGCAACATCCTTGCCTCCTGGGCCCCAAGTCACCTCCCAGAGAGTCACTCATCCCTCTAGAGTCCACACAGTCCCCCCCAAACTGCCTGCATCCCTGCCCCACGCTGACATTGCTAGGTGACCCCACTTTTCCAAAGACAGACCCACTCTTTCATCCAAGCCAAAAATCCCCTCAACACCCCCTTCAGAACACAGCCAAACTCCCTGGAAGAGCCCTGCTGGCCGCAGACCTGGGTCTCCAGGCTTGGCACCCCTGAGTGGGGGCTCAGTTCCCCCCTGGGGGCAGGCTGGCTAGGTCTGGTCACTTGGCCCAGCGCAGGTCACTCTCCCAGCCTGTGCACCCTTCCTGCCCTGCCCACACCTCCGAGGAGGCCACCCCAGAGGCCTGGGAGCCCTCTGCTCCCACACTCCTTGCCTAAGGGCTGGGTGATCTCGGGTCCGGGTGTCCCTGCACCCAAAGGTCCTCCGCTGGGGGTGTCAGGGTACGGACCAGCCGTCCCCTACCAACCCCAAGAGCACCCCACTCCCACTGCCAGGCCAAAGAGTTTCCTCAAGAACTCGGGCGGGAGATCTTTTCCACTTTGTCTGTGGCCCCTTGGTCAGCCAGGGGTCACCTGAACCTGACTGGCTGGAAGGGGAAAGTGGGAACCCCCTTCCTTTCGAGGAAGAGCCCCCACCTCCTCTGCCTGCTCTGACCCCATCATCCTCACGCCCCCTCGCACCCCTCCTCTCGCGCGGTACCTGCACGATCTCTGGAGTCCACAGCCATTGCCTCTGCCCAGCGCCTTTTCTCTGCGGTTCCAGGGACCCTCCCAACACGCCCCCTGGGCAGCGCTGGCGTCCCGAGCCGCCCCCCTTCGCGCGGGAGGAAACTGAGGCTCAGCGCGCCACGCGTGTCCCCAAGGTCAACGAGTGAGCCAGCTGCGGAGTGGGTCCTACCTGGAGGTGGTCCCC